AGGGAAATTACAGCACATATAACAATAGACGGACAGGGAAATTACAGCACATATAACAGAAGACGGACAGGGAAATTACAGCACATGTAACAGTAGACGGACAGGGAAATTACAGCACATGTAACAGTAGACGGACAGGGAAATTACAGCACATATAACAATAGACGGACAGGGAAATTACAGCACATATAACAGTAGACGGACAGGGAAATTACAGCACATATAACAGTAGACGGACAGGGAAATTACAGCACATATAACAGTAGACGGACAGGGAAATTACAGCACATATAACAGTATACGGACAGTGAAATTACAGCACATTTAACAGTAGATGGACAGGGAAATTACAGCACATATAACAGTAGACGGACAGGTAAATTACGGCACATATAACAGTAGACGGACAGGGAAATTACAGCACATTTAACGGTAGACGGACAGGGAAATTACAGCACATTTAACAGTAGACGGACAGGGAAATTACAGCACATTTAACAGTAGACGGACAGGGAAATTACAGCACATATAACAGTAGACGGACAGGGATATAACAGCACATTTAACAGTAGACGGACAGGGAAATTACAGCACATTTAACAGTAGACGGACAGGGAAATTACAGCACATATAACAGTAGACGGACAGGGAAATTACAGCACATATAACAGTAGACGGACAGGGAAATTACAGCACATTTAACAGTAGACGGACAGGGAAATTACAGCACATATAACAGTAGACGGACAGGGAAATTACAGCACATGTAACAGTAGACGGACAGGGAAATTACAGCACATATAACAGTAGACGGACAGGGAAATTACAGCACATGTAACAGTAGACGGACAGGGAAATTATAGCACACTTTATAGACCTACAGTGACAGTAAACGTACAGGCGAATTAAAACACAAACGAAAGTACAATTACAAGGGATTTACAAATCAAACAAGAGACCTCGCAGCCTTGACGGTTAACTGAGGTAAACAATACTGAATGTTAAAGTTATAGGCTAAGAAGCTTCCAAGAGACACGAAAAAGAAATTACAACATTATTAGTGATAGTAAGATTTAGGTGATGTGTTAACCATTGAGAATCCATCAGTATCAATAAAGTATACCACCAAACTGTCTTCCTCTAATAAAAATTCTCATCAAGTTATTTCTGCTGAAAAAATGTAACTTTATTCTCGAAAATCCTATTTTCCTAAGAAAAAGTAAACTTCACCTCCTCCCCAACGAAAAAAAGTGAGACTCTGGGATCACGAAATTCAAAATTTTGGTAAAGCATCCGAAGACCCTTACATCGAGGTAGAGCATTTGAGTCTTCTATATCAGTGTTTTGAGACGAAAGTTGTTGAAATTTGAGTCAGGTTTTTGGCCCGGCCTCTCAGGCCATTGGTGGGAGGGGACGATATAATTCACTATATTGTGGTTCATCTTAGACCAGGGAAAGATTTTTATAAAATTTGAGAAGTAGATGAAAATGTTAAAAAAAAGTTTACAGACGAACAATAGGTCACCACATCACGTAAGCTGTGTCCAATGTCGCATTTTGTCTTAGGTGACAAAATGACAGTAGACTTCCATTGAAATTACAGCACCAATGACAGTTAACATAAATAACAGTTGTTAAGAGAGGACTTACAACACTAATGGCGGTTTGATCCCATCATTTACGTTATTGGACGTTACAATAATTACAGGATTTTTTTTATTCATTAATCATTTTCAGAACTTTGAACAAACAACTGTTTCCGTAAACTTAACGGATATCATTCCCAGTATGTCAAAGACACGGTCTTCTTCATCGGCGTTTTCTCAATGTTTGGTGATAATATAGAGATAAACTGCCTTTCAGGATAAATACAGCAAGAGAGACATCATCTTGTGTTTTAATTGGTGTCAGAGAGTCCAGTCTCCCAATACAATTATATCTGTGTTCTAGATTTCAGAAGAAATCCACACATAACTAAGTTTTCTAGCTAGTAATTTTCATTCACTGTACTTGTAATGGATGAATTCATATGTCCACCTACATGTAAGGTTCTCTTTGACCACAGTAGACAAATCTAGATATCATTGATAATCTGTTGTCAAATTTCCAACAATCAGGATAGTAGTAACATCTAGTATCAATAGGCTGATACCTGTGTTACATTTACCCTCCTATAAATGACATACAACTACAACAGAAATGTCAGGGCTGATCATGTCTACTGCTGAACAATAAACACCAAATCAGAAATCTAAAATGACATACAACTACAACAGAAATTAAATATCCAGTAGTAAGTTCATGTCCGGGTTAATCATGTCTACTGCTGTACAATAAAAATCATTTTGTGTGATGGCTAATTTGTTAATACAGGATAAATATGGTAAAAAACAACCTCTCACACGAAATCTGAAATCATCCTCAATTTCTGACCAGTCCTAAAACACAACTGAGGACCAATGGGATCTATCTGAGGCGAAAACTCTCCAAACCTCAAATTTGTATGACATGGTTAAAGTAAATGGAAACCTACACAAACATCTGTTGTAAAAGTTCTATAGACAGTGCCTGATTTGATGACATGAATATCTCTGGTGTAGAAACAATCTAAAAACACCTACTAAAATGACGGAAAGGTGGCTTGTATGCTGCTGTAAGTGGTAACTGGTGTTTTATCACTGTCACAACTGAGATCTCCTAGTAGTAACAACTGAAGTCTCCTGGAAGTCACACCTGAAGTGTCCTGGTTGTCACAACTGAAGTCTCCTGGAAGTCACAACTGAAGTGTCCTGGAAGTCACAACTGAAGTCTCCTGACTACTGAAGTCTCCTGGTAGTCACAACTGAAGTCTTCTGGTAGTCACAACTGAAGTGTCCTGGAAGTCACAACTGAAGTCTCCTGGAAGTCACAACTGAAGTATCCTGACTCCTGGTAAGTCACACAACTGGAGTCTTCTGGTAGTCACAACTGAAGTCTCCTGGAAGTCACAACTGAAGTATCCTGACTACTGAAGTCTCCTGGTAGTCACAACTGAAGTCTCCTGGTAGTCACAACTGGAGTCTTCTGGTAGTCACAACTGAAGTGTCCTGGTAGTCACAACTGAAGTGTCCTGACTACTGAAGTCTCCTGGAAGTCACAACTGAAGTCTCGTGAAAGTCACAACTGAAGTCTCCTGACTACTGAAGTTTCCTGGAAGTCACAACTGAAGTGTCCTGGAAGTCACAACTGAAGTCTCGTGGAAGTCACAACTGAAGTCTCCTGGTAGTCACAACTGAAGTCTCCTGGTAGTCACAACTGGAGTCTTCTGGTAGTCACAACTGAAGTATCCTGGAAGTCACAACTGAAGTCTCCTGACTACTGAAGTGTCCTGGAAGTCACAACTGAAGTGTCCTGGTAGTCACAACTGAAGTCTCCTGACTACTGAAGTCTCCTGGAAGTCACAACTGAAGTGTCCTGGAAGTCACAACTGAAGTATCCTGGAAGTCACAACTGAAGTGTCCTGGAAGTCACAACTGAAGTATCCTGGAAGTCACAACTGAAGTCTCCTGACTACTGAAGTCTCCTGACTACTGAAGTCTCCTGGAAGTCACAACTGAAGTCTCGTGGAAGTCACAACTAAAGTATCCTGGCAGGCACAACTGAAGTATCCTGGAAGTCACAACTGAAGTCTCCTGGTAGTCACAACTGGAGTCTTCTGGTAGTCACAACTGAAGTATACTGGTAGTCACAACTGAAGTCTCCTGGAAGTCACAACTGAAGTATACTGGTAGTCACAACTGAAGTCCCCTGGTAGTCAAATTGCAGCCTGTAGAGCAGTGCATGGCATCCAGATTTCAGCCAATTTCTAATTATAGTAAAATTGACCTTGCTTTTAACCACTGAAGGCGAAATCTTTAATTTGTACAAATTGTGTGAAACGTGTGAAGTTTGGTATGAATTGGAGAAGGAATGGAGCCTTTTGAACGACATTGTGAAAATTTTGTTCATTTCTATTTATAGTAACAGTGATCTAGTTTTTTGCCTCTATAAAGTTGGAGTCAAACTGGTATAAGAAGTGATTTGTCGTAAGGGTATAACCATATTTTAAACCAGGGACAAAGAGGAACTGATTTATATCAAATTTACAATGCTTAACCAGGAACCAACCACATAACAAGTTTGGGAATAATCTCTACAGTCCTAGATAGAGCAATCATAAAATTCAATAAACGTTCAAAATCAAATAAGGCTGCCTGTCAGCCATTCTGATTTTTTCTTCATCAGTCTCCACATTCATGACGGACAGACAAATAACAGTCCGACAAGTCATCTCGTGATATTGGGCTAAAAATGCCATCATTACAAAAGGCACTATGATGATAGTATAGTGTTGTATGGTTACCTTGAAACGAATTGGAGATATGGTAACAGCCATATCATTGTGATATTTGTTTCCATGACCACAGGACTGAGGATGTATATATCTTTTTAGATATGTACGTATACATGCTTTGAATGTTGATTAAAACTATGGAATATGAAAACCAATTAAACAGAAAAATTTACTTGATCCTCATGACTGATGAAAAGTTTTCATAATGTTCTTTAAACCATATTGGACAGATGAATAGACAAAGTCATAATTTGCCAACATCCACTGAGCAGGGAATAAGAAGATGTGAAGTGTCCTTTATAATAGAAGATTTAGGGAAGATAATAGAGCGCATGATTTACTCTAAAACATACTGCATTTGAAAATTATAATTGGCAGATAATGGGTGTCAGTGAATCTAAATGAAATTTACATGTTGTGTAATCTTCAACAGTTTTGTTTGGTATTTTGTAGAATCAGCTTAAAATGAATGGATAGACAATCCCATTGGTGTTCTCTCAACATCAGGAATTTTGTTGAATGAGACCTATTTATATAACACAAGTTTGTGAATCAAATGAGAGGGATTAATTCAGGCAAATCCTTAACAAAACAGGTGTAGAATAAACAACAAAAGATAAACAACAAATGTATTTCAATATTGTTTAATTTGTGTGCTTCTATTTCATAGAAACCAATTTGTTTCAATTTTAAAGAGACACATCATTATATGACACACTAGTGAAGTTATTGTGACTTGACATATATACAAATGCTTAAAACATTCACTCCCTTTCATGATCATATCATTATGAAAAAATATAAAAAAACAAAATGTCAATCTATATAATGTGTAAAATTCATTACGCTCTGGAATATTTGGTTAAAAAATTTCAGATTATCAATATTTTATAGACAAAGTCTGTCATTATTGATATGACAACAGTGACTGTGGTCTCCATGGAAACATGAAGATATGGAATAAATTATCTCATTTAAGCATCCATAAATACACTCTAACTCAGTCAACACTAGGAAATCACTTCACCTTTGATATGTTCCTGTTCCTGTCCTGTAACTTGACCCCGAGATCTGTTATAGTGTTACAGATCAATAACAAGAATGTCTCACAAATGTCAAATGATTTACTATATTCTTCATCAAATTCAGTAGGATTTCATCTGTAAATCTCCATCATTTCATTATTCAACAATGATTCATCTAAATATCCATTCACAAATAATTGACTTCATTAATTTCATTCATCGCTGTTCATCAAATTCAATCATCGTTGAACACGCTTAATTCATTCATCATTACAACACATTAAATTCATTCATCATTACAACACATTAAATTCATTCATCATTACAACACATCAAATTCTTTCATCGTAATAACACATCAAATTCATCCATGCTTCAATACAGCCTTGTCCACAGCATACATTTGTATTTCAGAATTATTGAAAATCTAACGTAGACAATTTATTAACAATTGGTAAATGCAATAGTCTATTCTCTCATTCTCAAAATTTCATTAACCTATCTCCGCAATATTTTTCCTTTCTAGATTTCAGAATTCAAATCCCTGTAAAATACTGAAAAGAAATAAACACTATCATTGCACTGTAAACCCTCTACAGACGTAGACAGTAACATTGTACTGTAAACACTCTACAGACATAGACAGTAACACTGTACTGTAAACACTCTATAGACGTAGACAGTAACATTGTACTGTAAACACTCTACAGACGTAGACAGTAACATTGTACTGTAAACACTCTATAGACGTAGACAGTAACATTGTACTGTAAACACTCTATTGATGTAGACAGTAACACTGTACTGTAAACACTCTATAGACGTAGACAGTAACATTGTACTGTAAACACTCTATTGATGTAGACAGTAACACTGTACTGTAAACACTCTACAGACGTAGACAGTAACATTGTACTATAAACACTCTACAGACGTAGACAGTAACACTGTACTGTAAACACTCTACAGACGTAGACACTAACACTGTACTGTAAACACTCTACAGACGTAGACAGTAACATTATACTGTAAACACTCTACAGACGTAGACAGTAACATTGTACTGTAAACACTCTACAGATGTAGACAGTAACACTGTACTGTAAACACTCTATTGATGTAGACAGTATCATTGCACTGTAAACACTACAGACGTAGACACTAACACTGTACTGTAAACACTCTACAGATGTAGACAGTATCATTGCACTGTAAACACTCTATTGACGTAGACAGTAACACTGTACTGTAAACACTCTACAGACGTAGACAGTAACACTGTACTGTAAACACTCTATAGACGTAGACAGTAACACTGTACTGTAAACACTCTATAGACGTAGACAGTAACACTGTACTGTAAACACTCTACAGACGTAGACAGTAACACTGTACTGTAAACACTCTACAGACGTAGACAGTAACATTGTACTATAAACACTCTACAGACGTAGACACTAACACTGTACTGTAAATACTCTACCGATGCTCAGTAATAAGGAAATCTATGGTTTTTATTGATTTTACACAGTTGTCAGGACAACACATCTCTACTTCATCATGTAAGGAACATATCTTTATACTTGAACAAATGAAACATTACCCTAGAAACATACTACAAGTGACAGCAACTAATCTATTATGTGCTATTTTTGAAACATTTATTTTTTTCAAGCTGCCATTTGTATGGAATCGTCAATATTAGAATCCTACATTTGAATACAATAGCAAATTTACAGTACTGTAACAAGCCATATAAACATACTGTAACAGGTTTCAGAAAAGATCTTAAATGTGACCAGACAAGGTTTATCTAGATACAATGGTTACATCTATAAATTATGAGATGTTTGTGTGTAGCCTGTTTGTGTTAGATGTCTAATTCAATTTTCTTACAGGTATCATTTGGAAAAAAAAGGTATTGCTAATTGTAGGACTTGGAAATTTGGGATATACAACATAAGAGCTTTTGATTTTTAAAATTTTTTGTCCGACTGTTAGAATCGTTAAATTCATTCATTGACAAGGCGTTTATTTATTATGCTTCCAACCTCAGAATTTATGATACTGTTGTCTTGCAGTTTCTTCCATCACACTACAATCTCCCTATCTATCATATAAACCTAACCCTTCTGGTGGAGTCTCGGTTCCCTCAATCACACTAAACCCTTGGGTACAATCTCCCTATCTATCATACAAACTTAACCCCTCTGTTGGAGTCTCGGTTCCCTCAATTACACTAAACCCTTAGGTACAACCTCCCTCTGGTGGAGTCTCGGTTCCCTCAATCACACTAAACCCTTGGGTACAATCTCCCTATCTATCATACAAACCTAACCCCTCTGGTGGAGTCACGGTTCCCTCGATTGCACTAAACCCTTGGGTTCAAATCAGCCTATCTATCATTCAAACCTAACCCCTCTGGTGGAGTCTCCGTTTCCTCACAACCAAACCTCCTCATGTGGAATATCTCTATCCCTCATACATGCCTTCTCTCTCAGATCTATGCTGTATCTATAAACACCTTACCCTTGGGTGGAATCTTCAGATTCCTCACACACATCTAAAGCCTTGGATGAAATCTCTCTATCCTTCATTAACTCAGATGGAATCTCGAAATACGTCATTTATAAACCCCAAAGCCCTCAAGTAGAATCATCCATACCTCACACACACAAGATTCTTTAATGAACTTTCTTGTTACTTATTAACAGAACATGTTCAAAAAGAAAAAGATCAACAAGCCACAGTTGTTTTAGTTTTGTACCATTAGACCAGTAAAAATTCCATATTTATGTTCTAATTGCTGTCTTTGGTAGGTATCCCTAGTCCATCATCACAAAGTCCTACAAGGCCACAAGTTCTAGGGTTCTTAGGGATTTATATTTCTTTTCCTTAAAGTCTAAACAATTTGGAATGCAATATTTCTACAATTGTATTACGACAGAGAAATAAACCTGAGGATATTACACATTTTATATATTTCACAGCCTTTCTCTTGGCCTTCAACATTTATACACACATCTAACATCTCAACAACAAGTCAGCCATACTATATTCATTATATATGAATTTTGAAATGCATCCTTGAAACAGTCTTTAGGAGAAGCTAGAGCACCTGGATAACTCCAGGTATGTCTGTAGTCTATTTGAAAGGAACACTTTCTGGAACCATGTTTTGTTAGGTATGCCAGATTACTAGTTTACAGTCTGTGTGAGACAGAACCCATCTGATGTGTCAAACATTCCACCTTTAAAGTGTCTTAACCCCTTCAGTGTGACAGGTTTCATGTCACAAAGGCCTGTCTCTAAGTGTGACAGACTGTCACAGATCTGCCTTTGGGAGTGACAGACTTCTCCTTCAACATGACAAAGCCTACTTTTAGGTGTGACTAATTCTCACTCAGATGTGACAAGGTCTAACTTTTCGTGTGTGACAAACCCTGATATCATTTGGACGAGCCAAAGACCTATCTTTGTGAGTGACACAGGCCTGCATGTTTCAACTTTACTTTGTAAATCACTTGAGTGTAACAGGCTTCAACTGAAAATGACTCAGGTGTTTGGTTGTGACACAAGACAGTCACTTGGGTGCGATACAATCCTGGTCTTGTATGACAGCCTTTCATTTGTTGCAAATGTTTACATATTGTGGTTTTATACTTGCCGAGAACTTTTCACAATCTTGGCTGAGGAAACCTATCGCGCTTTCCGAAGCCAAAACACTACTTTCTGTGATACTTGAATACTGAATTCTACACACTTGATGGAAACATATTAAATCTGTTCAAAGACACACTTTATTTCACCAATATGTGAAGGAATGTTTTATCTTTTCAAATATTAACTTAAGTCTGTTTCTTAATCCAAGTAAATTTTCTCATCACACTGAGAACAAAACTTTAGAGAAATACCATTGCTTTCTCAAAATAAACAGAAAAATATCTCTGTTCAAACCATTACACAGGATTATTGAGAATTATCCAGCATGATATTCTGTGTTACATCCCTGTATATCCATTTAAGCACTGTTCTCCAACATTTAATTCACACATTAAACCAGTTGTATATCAGATAATCAGACTTGGCACTGGCCTAAAGCCAGTGGAATTAGTTGTTTAGCTGAGCTGCCTAATTTAACTATAATCACAAGTACGCTTATGTCTGCCGTATGGTACTACCTGCTGTGGGATTCTGGGTCTGTGGAGTTGGAATATGTATCCCTTTTGTCCCCCAGGCCTGGGTCGCCATGGTGACCCTTGGACTTTGCCACAGCAGGGGAATTGGAGTGACTATGTGAGGCAGCACTAGAGGAGGGGATGAGGGGTGGCGGGGCACAAGCTGGAGAACTCCCTTTCACCCCCACATGATTCAACATTGGGCTCATAGTCCTGGCACCTAAGTGGTTTACCATTGGGCTTAAAGTAGTCCGTGCCCCAGCATGATTTACCATTGGGCTAAGAGTCCTATTAAAGTGGGAAGCTGCTCCTAGTTCAGCTGTCCGTAAACCAGACAACCGTGACTGCTGTTCATAAGCTGCCAGACGTTCACGCTCATACATAGGCATACTTGAGAGGTAGTCCCGGCGCAAACGTTCGTCTTGGAGAAAAAGTTCCTCCTTACGTAGGCGTTCTTGTTCCATCTCTAAAGAGGTCGGATGTGGAGGAATACGGTGGATGAGTCTCTCGCGCTCACGTTCCATCTCCTGCTGTAGCTGCAGGCGATGGTGGTTCAATTCTAAAGCATTTTTTTCATACTGCCACAATGCTGGATGTGAGGGCACACGATCAGCTGCCAGAAATGGAGATGCACCCATGAACAAACGACTGCGATCAAACATTGCTAAGGGGTTAGAGTGGTTTGGCACAGATGGCCCTAACATGTACTCATTTCTTATTTTGTCTCTTTCTCCATGGAGTATATCCTCATCCCTTCTCTCTTCTTTAATTTTTAAACCACCTCGATCTTCATATCTGCGTTCAAAACTACTGTCTGATTTTGCAGATCCTACGCGCCCATTTTGTAGAGGTGACCTTGAACGTGACCTTGACCGTGCTGGCCGCACAGGTTCTGCTGGGAACATTTTATCCCTGTCACGACTTCTGTCTGTTAGGCAGTTAATTGGCAGTCTGTCTCGTTCACTATTGCGTCTTTCTCTGAAATGTCAAACAGATAGAATATGATGTTCTTTTGCAAACAGAAAGAATCTTGTTAAAGATATTCGCTAAACATACTTAATTTGAAACCTAAGTACATTGTCACTTTTTAGTAAATTTTAGCACATCCACAATAACTGTTATATACACAACATACAGAAACAGACAACCAGCACAAACCTATTTTAGCACAATACTTGTATCACACAAAAAGAGAAGCTAAAATCAGATTACACCTAATACAGGAACCTTAGCAGTAGGAAATTGATCATGATGAAAAAAATACAAGATAAATTGTTAAAATTTCAGCAAGAGAATGGAGAAAAAGAATTGCTATTCAAAAGTAAATTATTTTGTATCACCGTTTCATTCTGGTCAATATTTGGTGGGAATTTACTGATGCTCTCACAGTGACATAATGGAAACTGTTTCCATGTAAATATGTACAGAAACTGTGGCCATCTTGAATTTTGTCTTATATACCTTTATTTATCAAAAGTAGAAACATAATCACAATAATGGACTGAAAGTCATATATATATATCCATGAGTTATGACCACCTTGGTGAATATATTGCTGTAGCCAAGTCATTGTCAGTATGTGAGTACTGGTGAAGTGTGATGTAGCCAAGTCATTGTCAGTATGTGAGTACTGGTGAAGTGTCATGTAGCCAAGTCATTGTCAGTATGTGAGTACTGGTGAAGTGTGATGTAGCCAAGTCATTGTCAGTATGTGAGTACTGGTGAAGTGTGATGTAGCCAAGTCATTGTCAGTATGTGAGTACTGGTGAAGTGTCATGTAGCCAAGTCATTGTCAGTATGTGAGTACTGGTGGATTGTCATGTGTTTATGACATATCTGTGTCATGTGATTATGACATATCAGTGTGATTACAACATATCATTGTCATGTGATTATAACATATCAGTGTGATTATGACATACCAGTGTGATTATAACATATCAGTGTGATTATGACATACCAGTGTGATTATAACATATCAGTGTCATGTGATTATAACATATCAGTGTCATGTGATTATGACATATCAGTGTGATTATGACGTATCAGTGTGATTATAACATATCAGTGTGATTATGACATATCAGTGTGATTATAACTTATCAGTGTCATGTGATTATAACATATCAGTGTGATTATGACATATCAGTGTGATTATAACATATCAGTGTGATTATGACATATCAGTGTGATTATAACATATCAGTGTCATATGATTATAACATATCAGTGTGATTATGACATATCAGTGTGATTATAACATATCAGTGTCATATGATTATAACATATCAGTGTGATTATGACATATCAGTGTGATTATGACATATCAGTGTGATTATGACATATCAGTGTGACTATGACATATCAGTGTGATTATGACATATCAGTGTGATTATAACATATCAGTGTCATGTTATTATGACATATCAGTGTGACTATGACATATCAGTGTGATTATGACATATCAGTGTGATTATAACATATCAGTGTCATGTTATTATGACATATCAGTGTGACTATGACATATCAGTGTGATTATGACATATCAGTGTGATTATAACATATCAGTGTCATGTTATTATAACATATCAGTGCCATGGCAGTATCACAGCATCTGTTCTACTCATTTTTACCTTTCTCTGTCATCTTCTCTTCTCCTATCCAGGCCTATGTAATCACGCTTTTCTCGTTCCTTTTCCCGTTCTCTCTCTAAGTCCCGTTCTTTTTCCCGTTCACGTTCTCGTTCACGTTCCTCTTTTTCTCGATCCTCCATTTGTTTTGGCCAGGGGGTGGGGAATGAAGGGGGTGTACGATGAAGTCGATTCCCCCATTCGTGGGGTGGAGGAGTCATCCCCGGCACAGCTGTCACATCTCGACCACTGCTGAATGGAGCTCCTACAAGATAACAGGTCAATACAAATATACACCAACAAATGTATTTCTTCTTCTTTTTATGTCTTGAATTTATTCTTTACTAAAATTATTCAAACAATTAAATCATTGAAGTCAGTTAAATGGTATATGTTACAACATCAAAGTCTTTACTAATAATCATTTGTCTTTCATTTATCTAAACAACTTAATGACAATTTATTTTTACACACATGGAAGATAGATTTTTACATACAAGGGAGACTACTGAGTATATACAAAACCATTCACACACAAACCATGACTGCTATAATTGATCAATTATCTACAGCTGTTATCCCAGATAAAGGTCACTGCAGTTCTAATAATATTAACAAAATCTGCCATAAAACGCCAAACTTTACTGATAATTTATATTACAGATCAACAAATTTGTGTAAATCTTGCTATTTATTCCTATATATATATCTTTGTATGAAATAATCCAAATCCCAACATTTTTAGTGGTGTTGATTTTAAATTTAAGTTGTTAAAATTCAAACTTTTTAATGCCTAAAGGAGTTTTTTAAGCGCTCGTCCTATCATGGAAAAGACAAAATTTATAACTTTATTTGTAAATTAAATAAAAATCTGATCCCTACTGATCTGTTGTCAACTTTATAACTAAACTGCAAAATGGCTCCTCCCAGTTAGATGACAACACTGTACAGTGTATAAAGCACATGTTTAAGGACATACACTGCAGATTTTTGTACCTTTATCACAGATAACAGCACTACAACAAGAATAAGGAGAAAAGACAGAGGTTCACTACTTGTCTTTGTGACTTACGAAAGGGTGACAGAGACTTCTTACCGAGGCCACCAAACCCACTAAAGCCGCCAGGTAGAGCGGAGTAGGCCGCGGGCCGAGGAAACGGCGGCATGTCTGACAAAACAACAACACAGGGGCTACAGGCATGCAGTATTAGTTTATCATCTCAGTATATCACAATGCTTGGTTACTATGGATACAAGTCATACAGAATTCATACAAATTCTCTTCATTTCTTTTATTGTAAATTACAAACAAATCAATGTAATTTCACAAAAAAAATTCAATGAAGAATTTAGTATGATAATTACATATAAGAAGGTTTATGTATTAACAGACATTTGAAACATTTCGGTAACTTTGGGGTGTTAGTATGATATTCTCTGTGGAAGTACTACTTACTTATTGCATTTTGTCCCAGGAGACCTGTGTGTCCACTACTTTCTAGTATACTTCTTGGGCCACCTGTATAATACATCATTACAGCATAAGAAAGGCACGCCGTGAAAACAAATAAAGTTACCTGTCGTCATCCTTACAAATCTTGTTATTCTTAGTTTTAACCTTCTAATTTAATACTAACCGCTGAAAAAAAGACATCTAATACATTTTCGAGGTTTTCATTTATCCGCAAGGCACAATCAATCATAACATGTGATGCATTTACCTGTCAATAGCCAATGTGAAATATGTGCATCAATATTAAACGATGTTAGTGAGACAGGAATGTGTATATATACCAAGCATTGTCTCAGCACTCTGGTAAACCAGGTGTATAGCTGTCTCTGCACTCTGGTAAACCAGGTGTCTAGTGTAGATATATCTCCATTAAACCTTTTAGATAACCAGTTGTATGTAATGTGGTGAAGGAGAAGAAGCTCTTAAAATGTGAAATATAATGTGTGCCAGCTTTAATATCATGTCCTTTATCTTAATATCTTTTAGTGTACAGTATTTTACAATAGATTTTACCTCACAGTGTCTAAATAAATCCTACCTGGCTCACACATCTTATTCTTGACAAATTTTATTGTTTATTTTGTATTTGTTCCCAGATATTTGGCACTCTAATTGATTAAAGTCCTTATTTAACTGTCTATAATGGAACATCAGCATTTACCTGGTCCTAGTAAGCTTGGAGTGGAGCTGAGTCCTTATATAACTGTCTATAATGGACCATCAGTATTTACCTGGTCCTAGTAAGCTTGGAGTGGAGCTGAGTCCTTATATAACTGTCTATAATGGACCATCAGTATTTACCTGGTCCTAGTAAGCTTGGATAGCTGAGTCCTTATATAACTGTCTATAATGGACCATCAGTATTTACCTGGTCCTAGTAAGCTTGGAGTGGAGCCGAGTCCTTATATAACTGTCTATAATGGACCATCAGTATTTACCTGGTCCTAGTAAGCTTGGAGTGGAGCCGAGTCCTTATATAACTGTCTATAATGGACCATCAGTATTTACCTGGTCCTAGTAAGCTTGGAGTGGAGCTGAGTCCTTATATAACTGTCTATAATGGACCATCAGTATTTACCTGGTCCTAGTAAGCTTGGAGTGGAGCTGAGTCCTTATATAACTGTCTATAATGGACCATCAGTATTTACCTGGTCCTAGTAAGCTTGGAGTGGAGCCGAGTCCTTATATAACTGTCTATAATGGACCATCAGTATTTACCTGGTCCTAGTAAGCTTGGAGTGGAGCCGAGTCCTTATATAACTGTCTATAATGGACCATCAGTATTTACCTGGTCCTAGTAAGCTTGGAGTGGAGCTGAGTCCTTATATAACTGTCTATAATGGACCATCAGTATTTACCTGGTCCTAGTAAGCTTGGAGTGGAGCTGAGTCCTTATATAACTGTCTATAATGGACCATCAGTATTTACCTGGTCCTAGTAAGCTTGGAGTGGAGCCGAGTCCTTATATAACTGTCTATAATGGACCATCAGTATTTACCTGGTCCTAGTAAGCTTGGAGTGGAGCGGAGTCCTTATATAACTGTCTATAATGGACCATCAGTATTTACCTGGTCCTAGTAAGCTTGGAGTGGAGCTGAGTCCTTATATAACTGTCTATAATGGACCATCAGTATTTACCTGGTCCTAGTAAGCTTGGAGTGGAGCTGAGTCCTTATATCACTGTCTATAATGGACCATCAGTATTTACCTGGTCCTAGTAAGCTTGGAGTGGAGCTGAGTCCTTATTTAACTGTCTTAAATGGACCATCAGTATTTACCTGGTCCTAGTAAGCTTGGAGTGGAGCTAAGTCCTTATTTAACTGTCTTTAATGGACCATCAGTATTTACCTGGTCCTAGTAAGCTTGGAGTGGAGCTAAGTCCTTATTTAACTGTCTTTAATGGACCATCAGTATTTACCTGGTCCTAGTAAGCTTGGAGTGGAGCCTAGTTCTTGACCTTTGTGGACACTATTGCCTAGTAGTAGATGACTAGGAGGTCGCAGTGGTTCTACAGTTTTGCCCTCAGACTGGCCCTTCTGAGGATCAGACTGCCTTTGTTGGTGTTGGTAGATTTCCCAAGCTATCCGAACATGGACGGCACACCATTTCCCGGACTTCTACAACAAGGAATACCAAGAAATTTATAACCATTACTACAACACATATTTCAGTAATACCTGGTAGTTCAACAAGGTCCTACCTAAGTAACACAATATCCACATCATATCATTAGTAGCAAAACAATCAAAATCAACCCTAGTTCAGAACTTCATCTCTATTTCAAAATTTGTTATTTGTCATCACACATGATTAGAAATTAAGATAAGCTCAGAAATCACGGTGTTATATTAGGAAACGATTACCTCCATCAATGTAATAAAAAAAAATCACTGTTTCTTAGAGGAGCTCTTGTACTGTTAAACAGGAACCTCCTATAATGGTGACTATCACCATGACAGATAATGATGGTTCAGTTCCTCTTTAAATGTAACAGCTCTTCCAAGGGAGATAATTGAGTTTAAAATCTTTGAATAATAAATCATATATTGTGATTCAAGTAATAACAACTTTTACAGAAGTGATTGGGATGATGACATTAGGGACAGGGACAACTGTATCTGTCATGAAGGGGAAGTTGAAGAAGGTATGAGCAGTGAGCTGAATATATTGTAATGGCGCTCATGCAAGACGGCGATACAGCAAGACAAAACATAAGCTTTGCAGTGGTCAGTGGTATAGATGGCAGAATGGTATCAATGTCACAGAAAATCAGAGTTAACCATAGCCTTCTTAAAACCAATCCTAGGAACATATCAGAAATATTCTACATCTTCAAATGATATTAGTGGCTCAAAAATTGTGGTGGAAAAATTACAAATAGTACTGAACATCTGATTTGATTCCATCAACTTAAAAAAAAAATTCAGGTTGATATTTTTTCGGACACTCTGTAGCATAGAGTTATCAAGGGCTGGGTGAGTGAACACTAACTTTTTGGGCAGGTAGAGTTCCCCCTGGAGTGGGGTTAGCCTTTTCTCGGTCTCGAAGTGATGCTAGCATCATCTGGGCTGGGTGCAGGCTTGATGATACACGCTGTAAAGCAAACATTGCAATTCACAGTCACACAAACACTTATAGATAAGTCACACAAAACCTTAGATGTTGACAATCACGCACAAATTTGATTAAAAAAGACAAAGTCAGTATAGAAAGGATGTCTTCCTTATATGGTAAATACAATGTTAAGAAACCCTGTGGCAAATTCTTACTTAAATTGGTTCTGGGATGGTAAGTAGACTTGGTATGTATAAAAACCAGATCTGACAAGTACTGTTTCTTTACAACTTTTACCTTGAGCTACTTTTGTCAAATTGCCACATTTTTGTCTATAAATAGCATTTTTTGTTTTGTTTTTTTCTTAAAATATAAAAAGGCAATAAAACCAGTTTTGATTTTAATGTATTTAAAACATATAACAGCAACAAAATATGTACAAGTTGGACAATATATTACATCTGTATTAATTTCACAAAAGTCCACAACGTAATGTATTCTTGGGATTTCATTTCCATTTCATCAGTTCCTAATTATTCTGGCTGAAACTCATATTTTTATGCCAGCCTTGTGCACCTGATATCTGATTGGATGAAACATTGACAGGTGGCATATCAGCAAATCACCTGGCTGCCATAGTAACCATATAGTTTTTTTTATGAATTTGTCCTTCTATATGGCTTAGAATATGAAATTAACATTATGACATAAAATATTTATGGAGATCCTTTTTTAGAGAAATGATTGATATTGTTCATACACAAATACATCACAGCGTATAACATTACCAACACAGAGAAGCACTCTCATCTCTGCTGTTCAGAGATTTACAATATAACACATGTATTATAGATTGCAGTTTTTACAGTGTTTTTTGTTTTTAAATCAATATGTCAGGTGTCCCCCCTCCTCTCCCCCCATAGGATTAGATATAACTTAAAATACAAATGGAAGCCAGACAAGGCTTAATGTAAGGACCTCAGGGAAATGGAGGAACAAGGATTAAACGAAAGACTGTACTTGATACAAAGCACCTGCACACCTTCCTGAAACTATAATACACCACACCATCCTAAACCTATAATAAACCACACCATCCTAAACCTATGATAAAACACACCATCCTAAACCTATGATAAAACACACCATCCTAAACCTATGATAAAACACACCATCCTAAACCTATGATAAAACACACCATCTTGAACCTATGATAAAACACACCATCCTAAACCTATGATAAAACACACCATCCTAAACCTATGATAAAACACACCATCCTAAACCTATGATAAACCACACCATCCTAAACCTATGATAAAACACACCATCCTAAACCTATGATAAAACACACCATCTTGAACCTATGATAAAACACACCATCCTAAACCTATGATAAAACACACCATCCTAAACCTATGATAAAACACACCATCTTGAACCTATGATAAACCACACCATCCTAAACCTATGATAAAACACACCATCCTAAACCTATGATAAAACACACCATCCTAAACCTATGATAAAACACACCATCCTAAACCTATAATAAACCACACCATCCTAAACCTATGATAAAACACACCATCCTAAACCTATGATAAAACACACCATCCTAAACCTATGATAAAACACACCATCTTGAACCTATGATAAAACACACCATCCTAAACCTATGATAAAACACACCATCCTAAACCTATGATAAAACACACCATCCTAAACCTATGATAAACCACACCATCCTAAACCTATGATAAAACACACCATCCTAAACCTATGATAAAACACACCATCTTGAACCTATGATAAAACACACCATCCTAAACCTATGATAAAACACACCATCCTAAACCTATGATAAAACACACCATCTTGAACCTATGATAAAACACACCATCCTAAACCTATGATAAACCACACCATCCTAAACCTATGATAAAACACACCATCCTAAACCTATGATAAAACACACCATCCTAAACCTATGATAAACCACACCATCCTAAACCTATGATAAACCACACCATCCTAAACCTATGATAAAACACACCATCCTAAACCTATGATAAACCACACCATCCTAAACCTATGATAAACCACACCATCCTAAACCTATGATAAACCACACCATCCTAAACCTATGATAAAACACACCATCCTAAACCTATGATAAACCACACCATCCTAAACCTATGATAAAACACACCATCCTAAACCTATGATAAAACACACCATCTTGAACCTGATAAAACACACCATCCTAAACCTATGATAAAACACACCATCCTAAACCTATGATAAAACACACCATCCTAAACCTATGATAAAACACACCATCTTGAACCTATGATAAAACACACCATCCTAAACCTATGATAAACCACACCATCCTAAACCTATGATAAAACACACCATCCTAAACCTATGATAAAACACACCATCCTAAACCTATGATAAAACACACCATCCTAAACCTATAATAAACCACACCATCCTAAACCTATGATAAAACACACCATCCTAAACCTATGATAAAACACACCATCCTAAACCTATGATAAAACACACCATCTTGAACCTATGATAAAACACACCATCCTAAACCTATGATAAAACACACCATCCTAAACCTATGATAAAACACACCATCCTAAACCTATGATAAACCACACCATCCTAAACCTATGATAAAACACACCATCCTAAACCTATGATAAAACACACCATCATGAACCTATGATAAAACACACCATCCTAAACCTATGATAAAACACACCATCCTAAACCTATGATAAAACACACCATCTTGAACCTATGATAAAACACACCATCCTAAACCTATGATAAACCACACCATCCTAAACCTATGATAAAACACACCATCCTAAACCTATGATAAAACACACCATCCTAAACCTATGATAAACCACACCATCCTAAACCTATGATAAACCACACCATCCTAAACCTATGATAAAACACACCATCCTAAACCTATGATAAACCACACCATCCTAAACCTATGATAAACCACACCATCCTAAACCTATGATAAACCACACCATCCTAAACCTATGATAAAACACACCATCCTAAACCTATGATAAACCACACCATCCTAAACCTATGATAAAACACACCATCCTAAACCTATGATAAAACACACCATCTTGAACCTGATAAAACACACCATCCTAAACCTATGATAAAACACACCATCCTAAACCTATGATAAAACACACCATCCTAAACCTATGATAAAACACACCATCTTGAACCTATGATAAAACACACCATCCTAAACCTATGATAAACCACACCATCCTAAACCTATGATAAAACACACCATCCTAAACCTATGATAAAACACACCATCCTAAACCTATGATAAAACACACCATCCTAAACCTATGATAAACCACACCATCCTAAACCTATGATAAAACACACCATCCTAAACCTATGATAAAACACACCATCTTGAACCTATGATAAAACACACCATCCTAAACCTATGATAAAACACACCATCCTAAACCTATGATAAAACACACCATCCTAAACCTATGATAAAACACACCATCCTAAACCTATGATAAACCACACCATCCTAAACCTATGATAAAACACACCATCCTAAACCTATGATAAAACACACCATCTTGAACCTATGATAAAACACACCATCCTAAACCTATGATAAAACACACCATCTTGAACCTATGATAAACCACACCATCCTAAACCTATGATAAAACACACCATCCTAAACCTATGATAAAACACACCATCCTAAACCTATGATAAAACACACCATCCTAAACCTATGATAAAACACACCATCTTGAACCTTTGATAAAACACACCATCACCAGTTGTACCAATAAACATCACCCAGCTCTGCTGGTGAACAGTATGTCTACCTGTCAAAATTCTTTCTGAACTTTGTTACAAACTTTATGGCGCATTCTAGCTAGGTAAACATCTAAATTCCTCAGCTGTTTTAACTTCAGATTCAAAACTGATGTAACCAAGAACTGGCTTCATCTGAATACTTATACACTTGATAATTTTCAAATCTGGCCTTTAATATACAAATTGTGAACTTTTTAAAAATTTCCGATTTTTTTTTATGTACATCTCTGCCAGAGTAAGACTTGCACCTGTTAACAAATCACAGCATTCATTCCAGCCCCATCTCAGTCTGAATATCGGGCATTATCATCTAAAGGCTACGGTTAACAGAAAATTCATTGCAACGAAAGATGATAAGTATGAAACACATGATATTACACAAATTCTTAAAACTATAGCTAAGCATAAATCAAACACATTAGCTAAATTAGGCAGATCATAAAAAAAAACTTTAATGTTAAGAGGTCATACAAGGTACTTAGATAGGTCAAGACGTAAGAGACAGAACATTGACGATGCATTTAGTGACAGCAAGCTCATACATAGAGTTGTAATAACAGTTCTATATAAAGTATCCCATCCTGATCTGTGTACTAAGATTAGATAGTCTTTTTTTAACTTGAAAACTATACTTTATATGATCAATACTGAATTTGGTAAAAGTTCATTTATAAACTTGTAAGAAAGTTTGATTTTGTGAAGGTCATGCATATTTTATAAAAGGTGATGAAAGCCAAAACCGCAGAGATTCCTCAGTGTACGAGGTGATGTTACTTCAATCAACCCTTTTTCCTGGCACACTGTCGACTTGAAGCATTTAGTTCTGGTCATTGTCGCTATGTAGTGTGTATATATCACATTATTGTCAGACTTGTTACAGAAAATTGGAAGTCTTTTGCGCTCACAAATTAACCCCCATCGGCTAGCATTTCAAAATGTACTTGACTCGACATGTACAGGAAATGCAGGATTCATTGTTTACAAAAGGCCTACAGTTCTAGACACAGAAGCCTTAAATGGAAGGAATGTGCTTTGTAGAGGATATGGACCAAGCAATGATTATATCCTTAGGTTATTTGTCTGTAAAACAGCCCCACAATCCAAATCAATTATCAGAAAACTCAAAGTTTAAGTCTGGTCTGCTCAGTTGAATGGCCGCCACAGGGAAAATAATCTTTAACTGAGCTTAAACTAGTGTGTTATCTATTGACCGGAAAAATTAAAAATAAAAAAACCTCATAATATTGACAGTACCTTGCACCATGTGTCCAGGTCTACAACACATGGACAAGTCAACAAAACTATCATTATCATAAATGTAAATGACTTCATAATCAACAATACAACCAGACAGATATTTGTCAGTTGTGTACTTTAACTGGACTGCGGAATAAGTGATGATGGAGCTTACTTTAGGTTGGAATGCTCCTGGTATCCCAGAGTTGAGTCCGGAGTTAAGTGGTCCTGGACCAGCTGGAGGCATGAGTGGAGACATACCAGTAGGGTAGGATGGTAGGCCTGGAATCTGTGGTCGGTAAAATGTCGAATCTATCTTCGGCACCTTTTCATACTGAAACATAAACAGCAATATATATCATTCTTCTGGCTTTTGTCATTTAATTCAAATGTAAGGATATTACTTCAATAAAGCTTGTAATTATTGCTAATATGTCGCAAGTCCCTCCTTTCTTTACTGTTCCTTGTTATTCCCCTAAACCTGTTCTATCAAGTGTTTGCGGTTACCATGGAATTTTACCCAAGAAAAAATAAGTAATGGGGAAACTTTTGTTTTTTTTTATTTAATTTTCATTATACCGAGTCATACCAAGGTCAAATTACACACTGGTATCAGCAGTAGAATCAGATTCAGTTGAAACCTTTTCAATTTTATTTCTGCCTCTAATTCCAGAAAATTGTTTCATGTATAACACTCTTTTCTAATTTCAATTTAACTGTGTGTCTTACCAAAAATCCTATTCCCACCTAAACAGGCCCCTGTCTCTACAATATCAAATAAATAAATAAAATTGAGCTCTTTAATTTTGTTATTTTGGATAATACAAAAACTTCAGGGCTGGAAGCCAGTCTAATCCTCTCCCTACAGATCTAAAACACAGAGCCCAGCTTGTAGTTCACACCTCCCATATTTTAATGTCTGTAGCTCATCTCACAGGGAACCTCTCACTAATCCACTAAGAGAGTGTTCCTTCTCCATGCAATTCTTAACTACATCCAGTTTTATGTGTACACAGATAAGGGCAGAGAATTTTTTTTTGTCTCATAAATGTCCTCCAGATTTGATAACTGGGTTTAAACTTAATACTATTGATTAAATTTTCAAATGATTTAAAATTGTAATGTTATCTTTTTTCTACTGTTCATAAGGTAATCGTTTCTTCACAGCATGCTACAGGTTTGATTGAAGCTGTATATATGACAAAATACAGATCACTATTTAAAAGTACCTTTCTTTTCAATAAAATGTGACAAAAACACACACTGCAGCAAATGTTGATAATGTTTAAAACTGAACAAATATCTCATTAGACCCAAGTCTGTAAATTGAAATCTTAAATCTATCTTGATTTAAATTTCATCTAATTTTAAAGACATTTACCACAGAAAGAAAACATGTCCTTATCTGTGTTTACTGGCGGAAGCCATTTACTGATAAATTGCAGCTTATAAAAACAAGTGATAAATACACATAAAGCAGTAGTGTTAGGTGTTGGTATGAGACTCGCTGATAGTCGTGGTATTATCTGCCTACCTCTGTCACGCTTATTACTGATCACCAACACACTAGTATTGGTCTTTTACAACTATTTTATCTGACATTTTGTAAAAGATCTCAACAGAATGCAAGTTAAAGATTTTCTAAATGATGATTTCAACGCTCAGCGGAGAGTCTTGTATTAGCGAGATTACACCTATCAAATTGTGTGTCTGATGGTTGATAGCAGCGCTCAGCTTCATCTGTTGGAGTCAGATTACAAATGTGTTGTCTGACAATACAAAAACACTAGGTTACGGACAATCTATTGTTAAAACAGTATTGTTCCCAATAAAACTTTTGTTTTTTAGGAAACCAACATCCTAAACTAGCATTCTGATTGGTCAGAAATTTACCAACAGTTCTATGTACACACTAAAATCAATCTTGACCTTTCACCCACTGACCATGAAAACTTAGGAATGACACAATCAGTTCATGGGTAAGGGAATGTGATATGTCGTAGATTGTTGATCAAAGAACATGTAAAACATTACACAGTAATTATTGTAGGGAGGTACCCATTGTAAAACAATACATTACATAATAATTGTTGTAGGGAGGTACCCATTGTAAAACAATACATTACATAATAATTGTTGTAGGGAGGTACCCATTGTAAAACAATACATTACATAATGATTGTTGTAGGGGGGTACCCATTGTAAAACAATAATTGTTGTAGGGAGGTACCCATTGTAAAACAATACATTACATAATGATTGTTGTAGGGGTAGGGAGGTACCCATTGTAAAACAATACATTACATAATGATTGTTGTAGGGAGGTACCCATTGTAAAACAATACATTACATAATGATTGTTGTAGGGAGGTACCCATTGTAAAACAATACATTACATAATGATTGTTGTAGGGAGGTACCCATTGTAAAACAATAATTGTTGTAGGGAGGTACCCATTGTAAAACAATACATTACATAATGATTGTTGTAGGGGGGTACCCATTGTAAAACAATACATTACACAATAATTGTTGTAGGGAGGTACCCATTGTAAAACAATAATTGTTGTAGGGAGGTACCCATTGTAAAACAATAATTGTTGTAGGGAGGTACCCATTGTAAAACAATAATTGTTGTAGGGAGGTACCCATTGTAAAACAATACATTACATAATCAGTAATTACTGAAGGAAGATACCCAGAGATCTACAAAAAAGACAAGGGATATATTAGTTTGTATTGAATAGAAAAGGGTTAGGGTTGAAAGGGGTTGAAAGGGGTTAGTACAGTATAATGGCCAGTGGCAGGCTCTAAAAGTTGATACAGGATAAAGAATTTTGTACTCACCAGTAAAGGGGCCGGTGGTGGGCCCAAAGAGCCAGGGAAGTGTATAGGATACATGTGTTGGTGGGTGTGTTGATGTTGGTGCATGTGTTGGTGCTGATGCTGATGGACGTCTGAGCGAATGAAAGGATGAGACCCGCCTATGGAAGGTACTGGACGATCTTGTGTGGCAAGGAAGCGACGATTCAGCTCTTCTCGTAAAATCTCCTGGTCTGTAATATACACAAAGCAGTAAGAGTACAGTCTCCATTCTAATCAACCATCTCTTTCAGAATCTTAATATTTATGATTCAAGAGGACCTGATCAAATTAATAACTCTATTGTCATTAAAAATACAACATGTACACAGCTGAATTTGTCAATCTTTTTGCTATTTTATAACACTCTACATTTTACACCATCAACTTGTCACCCTTCACATGTTAAATAGAGCTATAACTGAAAAGAAATGTGACAAATTCATGGAATCTATATCCCCCTCTTTCTAAACATATTGTAAGTAAATATTTTAGAAATCAAAGGATACCTCATTAGTATGCATAATTATTAACAGATGGCACTGATAGTCGATCTCAGTCTTAATGACCCCAAGATGCATCAGCTGACCAAGTTTCACCAAAATTGGATGATATTTGGGGAAGTAAGAACATGGAAACAAAAGTGTGACAGACAGACGGACGGACAAACCTAAATTAATATCCCCCGTTTCGGTGAAAGCAGGGATAAAAATAAAAATATAATGACAGAGAATAATTAGGGACCATCATTACTAAGAGATTGCAGAGAGATATATTCAAACACTGACAACCATCTAGAAAAATACTCGAAAATCACTTGCACTACTACAAGTAGATGTCTACACTGGTATATAAATCAGAAGTTCTGGTGACGTACACATGTGGAGACTTCAAGGCAATTATCTCTAACCAGCTGTATAAGTAAAGGTAGGTAGAAATCTAGAAATATGTAGATGACTAGATTCTGTTTCCACTTTATAGCTGTGACAGACCAGTTTGAAACTAAAACTCAGGAATACAAATAACAGCCTGATCTCACTACACTTCATAATAGTGCTGGAAACATTCATGTTCTCTATAACAGTCACGTTCTCTGTAAAAGAGCCAACACTTTATGTCTGATGTGCTTTCCTCCTTCAACTAACACCTATAATAATTTTGAATATATGCACACAAATATTACATCTCTAAAGTCATTCTCAATCAGTAGAAACACATCCAACAAGTAAAAAGTAATTGATTCTGATACTTCTTTATACTGAATTATCTACCTTAATATCAAGTTATATCCCCCCGGGATTTAATATCATCCCATGAATTGAGTAGCCTCCCCTAACCAGGAATGCTTCCTGTGTGTGACCTCTCATAACATTCCTTCACAGTGGGTAACCTTTGCCTCACTCCCAGAAACATTCCCTTAGAGTGGGTTATCTCCCTTGACAGTGGGTCACTTCAATTAACTAAGGGTAACCTTCTCTAATAGGGATTAAAACAACAATATAAAGACTCCCCCAAACAGTAAGTAAGAATCTTTCAAAGCAATGAATAACAATTACTTTTCTGTGTGCAAGAAAATTATACTGCAATCATAATTTGTCAAACTGACATCCAATTCAAATTATAATACAATGTAAAAACAGTGGAGGCATTCTACTAAGAGCGATGATCTTTATCGACAGCCTTAAAGGAGATGTGGGACAATTGATTGTACTCCATATTATTTTGACTACAATCAATAATACCGAGTAATCTGTCTAGTTATCTCCATGGTAACCATATTGGTCTCAATAGAAACTAAAGGAGTTTCACAACAAAACAGGAAAACTGACAGCGTCTATGACTTTTCACATATCCGTTAAGGAAAATGAGTTTTAAGGGAAGTTTGGTACTATATGTTTACTAGTAGTGATGTTATCTTAAAGTATGAATATGGTTATTACAGGACCTCAAGGGGCCAACATATAATCTCTAACTCAAAATCAGAGGTGGGTTTATTACAGGACCTCAAGGTGCCAACATATAAACTCTACTAAAAGTCTGGGGGTGGGCTTATTACAGGAACTCAAAGGGCCAACATATAATCTCTAACTCAAAGTCTGGGGGTGGGCTTATTACAGGACCTCAAGGGGCCAACATATAATCTCTTACTTAAAGTCTGGGGGTGGGCTTATTACAGGACCTCAATGGGCAGTCAGAGGGAAGGTTATCACAAGACATTTAATCAGTTTTCACTGGTAATACTTAACATATCACCATGTATGGGCTTATTGCTTTATGGATACAGGACCTCTCATTGTAAATGATAAAATGATAGAAATATACTTACTGGCATAGGACATAGAATCACTAGGTGAATGAGATGACAGACTGGTGGCAGTAGCCCCGCTCAAAGAGCCTGATGTCAATGAAGCCCCGGCTGGTCCTGGCGGCAGTGGGGGCGCAAACATGCTGTGGGGCGGATGCCCGGGGGTATGGGCGGAGGGGGGATGAGGGGGCAGTGGTGGGTGGTGGGGAGGAAATGTTGGCGTGTGGTTAGGAGTGGAATGTAAAGGATAAGGGGGTATACTCGCACTAGGCGAGATCTGGGGACTATATAGGTGATGAGCAGAACTGTTGACACTGAAACAAAAACATATATATAAGGAATTAGTTGTGTAGAAGTAATGTGGTTTTTCATTTTACTATTGCTTCAGGAAAATCCTTTCCACTTAAAATTAATTAAAGGATAATATTTTGATATTTTGAAAAACTTCATTTGAAATCAATTCATTATCAGTCAATTCATGAATCTCACTTTTAATGATGAAAATGATATCATTACTTGCATGTAAATTGCCTCTTTAAACCACAATCTTATCTTCATCCTGTGTATATATTAAGTCTATGCTAAAAGTTTGCACATAAGAAACTCCTGAAACTGTATCAGTGAATAAATAGGACAAATCTACCTGTGTATATGTCAGACTGAGAGGTATCAAGACATCTCCTAATACCATCCATATGCCTTACATACAAATCATCTGAGATAATGGTACAACTTCTCCAACGTAGCACCTCAGATGATGTACTAATTACAAAAGATATGTACTGATTACAGAAGATATGAGATTGATATAAACCTGTCATAATGACAAAACAAATAAAGTGTGGAAGAACATACCTGGTCCTGGACTTAGAGAACGGCAGACTAGGGGGTAGTTGTGGGTCTTTATCACGATATTCCTCTCGCTTGCTAGCGAGGGGCCGAGGCGGCGGTAAGGGGGAACTACTTTTCCTGTTTTCTCGGTTATGGATTTGTGTGGTCCTGCTTGGTGGTCTAGCTGCTGTCAAAGCAGGATGAGGCGTTGTTGGCGATGATGGAGTTGGAGCCGGACGCTTGGCGGGAAGTACTGTAGGTGGCGCTGTTCGCGGTCCACTAGATATCACAGACGGTGTGGTTATTGGAGCCACTGCAGATGCGGGGCTACAGGAAGTGGTAATGGTACCACAGGTGGTGGTGGCTGAGACTATTAATGCACTAGTGGTAGTCGTAGCAGCAGTAGTAGTGGCAGTAGTAGCTGGACTACTGAGGGAAGGGGTCGTTGTGACCCCCACAGGACATGGGCTGCTGCATACTGAGTTTGTGCTGGTGTTGTTGGTTACAATGCATTCTCCTGTAATTAAATACATCATTTTAATGTTATATATTGACCTATAAATTGATGTCGGGAAGTAAAATTTGTCAATATATAATGTATTAGGGTACAAAGTACATATATAATCATTTATCACATATTTATCTCCTATGCTTTTAAATAAGAAATTAATTGTTACATCGGCATAATTATGTACAAATTCTGGAAAAAAGGAATCTTTTGTCTAAGTTGGTCTCAAATATTCCTACTATAAACACTTCCTAATGGAAAGAGACAATAAAGTTATGAAAACAGAGTTACCCACAATTATTAAGACTGTTCCTGTTGTAGATGGCCAATATAAATATGAAAACAGTGTTATCTATTATGTAGATTTAATCATAAAAATTTAATGAACTGTTTTGATTTCAAATATTTCCATAATTTTATTCATGCTTTCAATTTTATGAAATTCTATCTCAGCCTTGTCAAGATGCAGCAAAACACTTTTATATAAAGTAGATAGCAATCCAAATCACAATAATGAAATGCTGAAAGTGAACCAGAAGTAACCCCTTGTCACACAAACGTCACACTCTAAAGATATCCTAAATACCAATTGACCTCTGACATCTACAATGAGTACTTAAGAGATTTAGACCCTGTCATGGTAGGCTTGAATCATAATGACTGGAGTGTAAATCTCTATTGTAACAATCAGTTGTCACTTCAACTTAAACACCATACGCAATATCTTGTTTTCAGTATAGTCACAATATCAAGTCATCCTACAGTATATCTGGTTGTGATATCTAGTCCCTCTACAGAATAACACTAAATCTGTATAGGACTGGAATGAAATATTGTCTGGGAGAGTATAGTCCCTTCTATCCATGGGACAAGTACTTGTAAAGTAGGTATCAACAGCACCCTATCAACCAAACACACCACGTATATTATCATCGTTAATTACAGGTCAAGTGCTTGAATCTACAACAACATAACAATAAGAGAAAGGCCTTATCTCAGCGGGCACATTGTCACACACATTGTTCAAGGTTAGAGATTCCGATTCATTATAAACTGTTTCCTTATTCTTTAAAATATTGATTTTTTTTTACATTCCTTGAACATTTGTTTTTAAATCTTTCAAATGAAACTGTATGTCACCTGTTACTGGCCGTACCAGTCAGTACATAACACTGTTACGGGCCGTACCAGTCAGTACATAACACTGTTACGGGCCGTACCAGTCAGTACATAACACTGTTACCGGCCATACCAGTCAGTACATAACACTGTTACGGGCCGTACCAGTCAGTACATAACACTGTTACGGGCCGTACCAGTCAGTACATAACACTGTTACCGGCCATACCAGTCAGTACATAACACTGTTACCGGCCGTACCAGTCAGTACATAACACTGTTACCGGCCATACCAGTCAGTACATAACACTGTTACTGGCGTACCAGTCAGTACATAACACTGTTACCGGCCATACCAGTCAGTACATAACACTGTTACCGGTGTACCAGTCAGTACATAACACTGTTACCGGCCATACCAGTCAGTACATAACACTGTTACCGGCCATACCAGTCAGTACATAACACTGTTACCGGCGTACCAGTCAGTACATAACACTGTTACCGGCCATACCAGTCAGTACATAACACTGTTACCGGTGTACCAGTCAGTACATAACACTGTTACGGGCCGTACCAGTCAGTACATAACACTGTTACCGGCCGTACCAGTCAGTACATAACACTGTTACCGGCCGTACCAGTCAGTACATAACACTGTTACCGGCCATACCAGTCAGTACATAACACTGTTACCGGCGTACCAGTCAGTACATAACACTGTTACCGGCGTACCAGTCAGTACATAACACTGTTACCGGCGTACCAGTCAGTACATAACACTGTTACCGGCCATACCAGTCAGTACATAACACTGTTACCGGCGTACCAGTCAGTACATAACACTGTTACCGGCCATACCAGTCAGTACATAACACTGTTACCGGCCGTACCAGTCAGTACATTTTTCTATCATCAGCTGTAACATTACATGTTTTATAATATAAGGTTTGTAGCTGCTGTAACCCAACTACTGTTGGTATTCTAGAATAAACATGGGGTGCAAACATATTACTCTGAATCAATGTATGGGGTGGTCTTATTACAAGAGCAACCAACACATACCTCTGAATCAAAGTATGGGGAGGGCTTATTACAGGAACAAACAACACATACCTCTGAATCAAAGTATGGGGAGGGCTTATTACAGGAACAACCGAATCAAAGTATGGGGAGGGCTTATTACAGGAACAACCAACACATACCTCTGAATCAAAGTATGGGGTGGGCTTATTATTTAGGACCATACAACACATACCTCTGAATCAAAGTATGGGGAGGGCTTATTACAGGAACAACCGAATCAAAGTATGGGGAGGGCTTATTACAGGAACAAACAACACATACCTCTGAATCAAAGTATGGGGAGGGCTTATTACAGGAGCAACCAACACATACCTCTGAATCAAAGTATGGGGTGGGCTTATTACAGGAGCATCAAAAAGATACCTTCGAGTCAAAAGTAATTTGTGTGCTTATCACAAGACAATCAAACATATTACCTGTAACTCAAAAGTCAGGATTGGGCTTATTACTGACTACAAAAACAGCATTTAGTTGTATCTTAAATGAACAAAAGCTCTAGGGGTGGGCTTATTACAGGCGATATAATGTAAGGTAAATTTAAATTCTAGGGGTGGGCTTATTACAGGATAAATAATGTAATGTAAATTTAAATACTAGGGGTGGGCTTATTTCAGTCTATATAATGTAAGGTAAATTTAAATTCTAGGGGTGGGCTTATTACAGGAGATATAATATAAGTAATACTTACGACTTCGATTGACAGTATTGACTGTGGTAAAGATATCCGAGCTAGCATCAGAAGCCTGAAAGTATACAAAGTAAAATCACATCTTAGTTTTTATTTAATTCACATTCACAATATAAATTAATTTTCTACTACAAGAAAAATGACAGAATTTCTTTATCATCAAACACTGAAAATGCCAAGAAAGTACTGTATATAAGGGAATACACTGCAGTTTAACTTCTGCCTACTTCATACTTTGTCGAGAAGGATAAAAAATACCAGGGCAGTGTGTAGTATTAGAATAAGGAAACAATGATTTCGACATAAATGACAACAATGGGAAGGTCTAGGAAATGTTTGCAGCAATATGAAATTATCAGTTAAAACTCATCATCAAATGTCTGTTGTAATGGTGAACCATGAACATGACAGCTGATACATAACGACCCTGTACCAAGTTTGTGACCCTCTCCTGGACGTTCATTTCCTCTGGTGAAAGCTTCATCCGATATTATCATATGATTTCACTTTTTTTAAAAATTTCTGACAACTGAATACAAATTATAAAACAGATTTTTCATTTATTCATGTCTATGCTGTAATTGGCGACGTGCATGCTTCTATTGTAAATACGACGAGCCCATTTCCTTCAGCACTTAAAGTTAAAGGTGACATTTGTATGTGGATTCCTGCCTCAGATGCTTTCAACAAAATTCTTTATCACAAGGCTGCTAACAAAATTTTTTTAATAACTCTTGACAACTGATAAGACGATGCATTTTAAAACTCATATTCAAAATATAGTGATATATTGTGATATTAAAATTTGATAATGTTTTCATCATCATCATCTTTATAAAAAGTGTTGGATAAGTAGGCAATATCTAGCAGAGATGAGATTTTTTTTATAAACATTTGGATTTGCTCCCATCTAGATAAGGGTGCCACAGCTTTTGTGTGAACGTATCGGGCCATGATCGTGATCAGAGTTGAGCATGATTAGGAGGTGGCAGGATCAGAGGTCGAGTAAATTACACGGCAAGTGCACATGACTGCACACGTAACATTATGCATTAAAAAACGGAGACATCTTCATTACTATGAGTCCACAAGTCTATCATCAGCTGGCTTCTTCACATTTATATATCACAATGAACACTCATCTCTCATCCCATGTAATGCACACGATCAACAAAGGAAAATCTGATTTTCTAATCATTTACTCATAACGAAATAGTAACATTCCTTCCGTGGAATGCAAGGACACAATAATAATTAATGATTATGAATACAACTATTGGTGAAATTGAGATTTGGATGTACTAACACCCATGTATCTGGCACACCTGATCCTCTGTTCAACCTACATTGTATAAAGCTTTGATATTACCCACCATTTTTCTGAGGAGATCAGAAAACAGGAAACGACGGGGAACATTTGGTGTTAATCCTAAATGATTCTTTCCTTCATGACAAGATGAGCAGCATTTTTGTCCAGACATCATGATGTAATGTGGACAGAGAGTGATCACAAATTTAGGCTACATTATAGGACTTTTATCCTCTGTATAAAAGCTTTCTTCTCATCAACAGCGGATTTCCTGAGTGATAGCTATAATCCACAGACATTATTACAGTAAAAATGGTCTATCAATGTTTAACACATCTACATCAAATTTCCAAGAAAGCATCATCAGGCAATAATCTCTCTGCTCTGGCATCCTCAATAATTGTAAATCCACACAGCAGATGATCAGAAAACAGGAAACGACGGGGAACATTTGGTGTTAATCCTAAATGATTCTTTCCTTCATGACAAGATGAGCAGCATTTTTGTCCAGACATCATGATGTAATGTGGACAGAGAGTGATCACAAATTTAGGCTACATTATAGGACTTTTATCCTCTGTATAAAAGCTTTCTTCTCATCAACAGCGGATTTCCTGAGTGATAGCTATAATCCACAGACATTATTACAGTAAAAATGGTCTATCAATGTTTAACACATCTACATCAAATTTCCAAGAAAGCATCATCAGGCAATAATCTCTCTGCTCTGGCATCCTCAATAATTGTAAATCCACACAGCAGATGTTCAAGATGATTTTCCTATCGATGACAAACTCCAGCAATTCTCAAGGATTGAAAATATTCATATGGACATTTGAAACAAGGCAAATATTTTTTAAAACCACCTCAAAAATGACAAATATCCATCAAGAGAGTTTGGATGAGGGCAAATATCCATCAAGATTTCTCATGAATGTAAATATTCATTAAGAAAGTTTTGATGTAAAAACATCCATTATGAGAGTTCTGATGACAGCATATGTCCAATACTCATTAAAACATTTCTGATGAGTATCCATGAAGAGAGTCCTGTTGTAGCAAATATCCATTATAAACGTAATGATAACAAATATCCATTAAGACAGTCATGATGAACAAACAGTCTTAATTATATTATTTATCCATTAAGACACATTCAGTCATGTCAAGAATCTGTATAAATAGTTGAGTCTCTATCAAGTATCCAGTAGACCATTTGTGGAAAATATTTAAAACAATGACACACTAAATATTGTGTGTGTCAACATTTCACACTTACACCCAATGTTTTATGTCCCAGACATTCCTAATTACTGCAGCACTCAATCTGACTGACATGACAGCATATCTGACATTACAGATAGCCAGGGTCCGATCTGACGGTCACGATAGCGTTACCGACATTACTGATTGTAGGGTCCATCAAAACGTCGTAAATGGTTGATTAAAACAAAATGAGTGGTTACCATTACAGTGTTAAATGTTTTAAAATGTCACCCATTTCCATTAAAGTACTAAAGCTAAGGAGACATCAGCTTTGTTTATATGAGATTACGATGACGGCTGTATTTCATGACCAAATTGTCTCCATATTTATCAGGGATATTTTCCAAGGTAAAAAGCTCCACAAAATGGCTGTGTCTATGTAAGTTCTTTGTCATACAGATAGCTGTTATTTATATGTAAACAATTGTAAGATACAAGTTAAAAATTCTGTTCCTACAGCACTCTGTTAACATTCACCAACTGTGTCGAAATCATCAACTACACCAGACATTTCCAAAGTTTATCCCCACAAAAGAACACACAAATATTTTTATCACAAAATCTGAGTAAGATATCATGAATTGTTATCCAAATGAATGTTTTCATTGTATTTCATCCAATTGAAGGTTCTGTCACTGAAATAATCAAACCACATGTTGTGGCCATATCGCTGTCAGAATTACTTCTCAACAAGCCATCCCTAGGACATCCATCTTCTCCATCACAAAGTGTTGTAGAAGTCTAAAAAAGTTTTGGCCCCTATCAGACAAACACAAAAAGAGGGAAGCATGCACCAATGAGAGGGAGCCTTATACCTGAGTAGCAGTAAAAGCAACAGGTAGAGGTCTGAGCGCAGATGTGTAATCACTCATACGTAAACATGCTGGAGTCTGCATACGCTTTACAGATGATGTATTAGGCCCCATACCAAAGTGCAATGTCACAGCACATTTCACCCCACCCCAAAGAACCATGTTTTTAACATTAGTGTAATATACCATCTTTCCTTAAGAACAAACAGAAATCATTTCCTCTTGATTTTTCAATATAGCATTATACAGTGCCCATATCCAATATAATCGGCATAGTTTGTGATTAATGGGGCACCCTAACTACAAAACATCACATACCACAGAATACTTACCTGACATCAGATATACATATATTAAACATCGGATGATATCCACTACACTGACGTTTCATTATTATAGCATCCCTTTCATAAAACATTTATACCATATCCACTCCACCATTAACCCACAACCCAGGGGTCAAAACATTCCTCTTCAGTCAGTCAGGGGGTGGGCTTATTACACGACACATGAGGGCCAATTCATTCCTCCTCAGTCAGGGGGATAGACTTTTAGCAAGCCACCGGGGACAACACATTACTCCTCCTTCAATTAGGGGGTGGGCTTATTTCATTACCTCAGGGAACAACACATCAATCCTTACTCAGACAGGAGGTGGGCTTATTACAGGACACAATGGGGCAACACCTTACTACTTTTTACTCAGGAGGTGGGCTTATTACAGGACACAATGGGGCAACCTATTACTATTTATTACTCAGGAGGTGGGTTTATTACAGGACACAATGGGGCAATCTATTACTACTTATTAATCAGGAGGTGGGCGTATTAAAGACAATGAATAGTTCTGATGTATAATTTTACTGAGCAACAATGAATATGAAAAAGATAATTACCAGAAATTAAAACATCTCCTCTCCCTCCCCCCCCCCCCCACTTTTTTTTTTTTAAAATAAAGGGTGCTGAATATTAGAAATGTATAACAATCTTGAGGTTAAAATGTTTGCATGCATAATGCTTAGTAAAAATGTTGAGCAACAAAAATGATTACACGGTCCTGACCTCTGTTAATGACTCATGACTATGTTGTCATTTAGACTGCCTCCACCAGACAGAAAACTGGCCATCCATCTTAATTCATCATTCTACATATTAATTTACACACATGCATTCTGATAACACTATAACATAGTGACAGATCCACAACTTTAGCCTCAGTGTCAGACAGACAACATGTTACAATGTAATAACAGACCTATAAATCCAACACCTTCTTCAGATTTTGGTCCATTTCAAAGAACCTTATTTAGAATACTAAGATTTATTTACAGGATTTGGAACCGTTTGACATTCGCCGTGACCTTGACCATCTGTAAAGATGCTGAATCTTTGTTGATACGAGTATGTAGATGATATCCATTATAAAACAGAATCACTGACAGACAAGAAGTCCTGCCGAGAAGATAAACAATTCTTCACCATATCTACATGTCTTTGTAGCTTTTACAACTAAACAAAAACTTAGGCAAACAAAGCATATCTTGTATCTACTGATAGTTCAGCCGTATGACTGACAGATACATCATCAAAAGGATTGGGGGACTCATATTTTTTTTTAATTTTTAAGTGGTGAGGGGGTAGGGGTGGTGGTTAGAGGGGTGAAGGGGG